GGTACTGTGGCAGAGCATTGAGCTCATTGAGCTTTGCTGTGCAACTATGGCAGAGTATTAAGCTTTGCCCTATCCTTACAATTAGTGCTTATTTTGGGAATATTTTTTGTGTTAGCACGTGTTGATGCAGGTGATTTTGATGTAGAAGTTTAGGCATTTTTTGACTTTGATTAATTAGGCCTATAGAGTCCAACTTCAATTATTCGAAGAACTTAAATTTGGAGCATATTTTGGATTGCAGTGAGACAACAACATGGTCCAAGATAAACTACAGCCCAAATACTGCTTTTGGATTTAATCTTACAAATGGATTGGGCTATGCTCACGGACATGATGTGGTGGCTTTTTTTTTTTTTTTTTTTGATAAAGGAGTTGACGTAGTGCTTTATTCCAAATAAGTTCCTTCTTCGGTGTGGATGAGTGTGCGAATGTTGAGGATCAAAATTGAGATGGAGTTTGGCTGGGTCAATCGAGAAATCAAGGGCAAGTTGCAAGTGGTTCCAAGAAATATGATCTTGGCGGTTTTTGGCTACTGAAATTCCATTTGTAGCTACCAGCTGATCAAGTGATGAAGTTGATTTTGGAGACGTTGAGATCTTATTCAATTGTGGAAGGTGGGGAGAATCAAGTAGATTTTTGTCAAGCAGATTTTTGTCAAGCAGATTTAGCTATGGGGTCTTTAAATACAAGTTTTTCAGTTTACACTTACTTTTCAAAGCTCACCACTCTACACAATTATGTCTTTGTTTAGCCTAATCTATTTAGTAATTTTCTAGTTCAAAGTTACTTTTAGTGAACTTTTTTTGAATTCATAGTCCAATAGGAGTAATATTGCATTCCATAGTGGATTCCTTTTATTGTTAATTTACTTTTAGTAAGATTAGTTTCACTGACATTTATCTTATTTTGTTGTTTTTTTTTACTTGGCTTCTCATTTGTTAAACATTTAATTTTAATTCAAGCTATCTCCAATTTCAATTAAATTCAAAGTCTTTTACATTCTTGTTGCAATTTATGGTTTCATTTGATTTTAGCTTACTACACTTTCTAAATTTCAACTAGTTCATGTTTTTTACCTACAATTTAGATTTTGATTTTATTTTTTGCACTTACATTCATTAATTTCCAACATTTGTCTTTTAGTTTATTTGTTCTCTACTACTTTTAGTTTAATTTTTCTTGAATATGTTTATTCTAATTAAAGTCCTTTACATACTTTCAAGACAAGTTTGAGCTTATTGCATAGGAATCAATTTCTCATTTTTGTCAATCCACTTGATCTGGAGCACAATTTATTTTAAAATGAAGTTCTTCCAACATCTTTTTTACAAGGAAAATTTGGGTGGAAGAGGAGGGTTGTCAACGAATCTTTTTCCTACTTTTCTCGCAAAAGCAAGTGTCATGCCTTCATTCAAGTTTTTATCATGAGGTGTACCTAACAAGATTTTAGGGCTAACATTGTGAAATTTGAATGAAGGCATACCACCTGTTTTTGCAAGAAAAGTAGGAAAAGGATTCATTGATGACCCTCTTCTTTCACTTAATTTTTTTTGTGAAAAGGCTGTTGGAAGAACTTCATTTTAAAATAAATTGTGCCCTATATTAGATGATTGGTAAAAATGAGAGATTAATTCTTATACAGTGAGTTCAAACTTGCTTTGAAAACATGTCAAGGACTTTGATTACAATAAACATATATCAAGAAAAATTAAATTACAAGTACCAAAGAACAAATAAACTAAAAGACAAATGTTAGAAATTAATGAATATGAGTGTAGAAACTTAGCTAGACAGAAATCTAAATTATAAGCAAAAAAATGTAAACTAGCATAAATTTGAAAAGTGTAGTAAGCTAAAATCTAACCACACCATAAATTGCAACAAGAATGTAGAAGACTTCACATTTAATTGAAATTATGCTTGAATTTAAATTAAATGTTTAACAGCTGAGAAATTAAGTAAAAGCAAACAATGTAATAAGATAAATATCATCTAAACTAATCTTATCACTACTTAATTAACAATAAAAAGAATCTACTAGGGAATGCTATTGTACTCTTATTGGACTATGAAATCAAAAAGGCTAAATACCTTTTTTGGTCCTTCTATTATTGAAAAGAGCTTCTTTTTGGTTCCTAAAAAAATCCCTTTTTCAGTCTTTAAAATTTAAAATTCGACTCCTTTTTGGTCTCTCCGTTAATTTTTGCTCGCGTGGCATGTTAACTTAACGAGAACATCTGACATAAATATGCCACCATGTAAAGGCACTTACATGGACTTAATGACACTCTCCATGTCACTCTTCCCGTTCAAAAACAAACCTTAATTGATTTTCAGTTCCCTCTTTATGTATCATCTTCCTTTTTTCAAAATTCTTATTTTTCTTTCATAATTAACCATTTACATGTGAGATTGGTCATGATCGATCAAAACAAATCCTTCTTTCCCTAATTTCATATTTTTAACCTTTTCTTTCTATTAACAAACAAAGTTATGAAGTTCATAACAACACAAACACAACAACATAAACCCATCACCAGCAACTTCAAACCCAAATATCAAACCCAAAACTTAACATTTCTAATTCAAAACCAAAAGGTGAAATTTTGGTTCAATTCGACTTACATTCAAAATCTTTAAAAAAAAAAAAAAAGAAGGGAAATTAAAGCTAATTAAAATCATTTAATTCATTAATTAATAAATAAATAAATTTTATAATTTGTACATATCAAAATATTTAGATGAAATGCTTACATAGATTATAATTTTGTACACGTAATTTCCATGTAATTTATTGTATTATTTATATAAAAAATAATCAAAGGATTCCGTTAATTAATGTGATAGATCAATAAAAATTTAACAGATGGATCAAAAAAGAGATTGGATTTTAAACTTTAAGAACTAAAAGGGAGATTTTTTTAGTATAGGGACCAAAAATGAGCTTTTTTTCAATAGTAGAGGGACCCAAAAAAAGTATTTAACCAATCAAAAAAAGTTTGCTAAAAGTAATTTTGAATTAGAAGATTGCTAGATAAATTAGGCTAAATTAAGACATGATTATGTAAAGTGCCGAGTTTTAAAAAATAAAGTGTTTTGTCGAGAAGGGCTTAACTGTAAACTAGAAGACAGGTTGAAAACTTATATCGCTTGACGTTAATTCTCCCTATGTTCCATGGTTGAATAACATCTCAACATCTCCAAAATCAACTCATATCACTAAACCTTGCCATCGCTGCTAGGGTTCTCCTTCTCCAACATACGCCTCTCACCTCGGTGCTCCTCCTTGTTTTTGCAGGGCCTCCCTCCTCTTTCTTTTTCCTTGTTGCCTTCTGCCTCTCCATTCCATGGATCATACTCGTATTTTGGCCTAGAACTATCGAGGCCTTGGAGAAATTTCTACAATTTTAGAGTTGAAAAAACTCTGTTTCCAACATAAGCCTAGTATCATCTTCCTCTCTGAAACAAAGCGCACAGTGGTAGAGATGACTTCGATTCGCACAGATCAAGGGTTTGATCAGTGTTTTGCTATTGATTATGTAGGAAGGGGGGCAGCCTTGCTATGCTCTGGTGCGACGATTTTAACCTAATTGTTTCTATTTTCTCCCAATTTAACATAGATGTTGAAATTATTGATCCGAGTGGGGGCAAATGGAGACTCACAGGGTTTTATGGACGTTTGGAGGCCGCTCGAAGAAAGGAATCATGGACCTTGTTAAAATCACTCAAGGCTGCCTCTTCTCAACCGTGGCTGTGCTTAGGTGATTTTAATAAATTCTGCAGCAATCGGAAAAGGCAAGAGGGAACCATCGACCACATAAACAAATGGAAGTCTTTGCAGAGGCCTTAAACGTCTGCGACTTTGAAGAAATGGGTTTCAAGGTTCCTCAATTTACTTTTATAAGGAAGATGCATGACAATATCATCAAGGAAAGACTAGACAGAGTTTTGATGAATCCGGGGTGGTTGAGGATGTTTCTTGGGGCTTTCTCCCATCATTTATTGGCATTCAAATCGGATCATGCTCCAATTTTGGTGATAGCAACAAAAATGATGAATGGTTTTCGAATAAAAGATCTAAGCTGTTTCGATTTGAGAACTATTGGACCAAGGAACCCAACTGTGAGGAAAAAATCAAGGATGGCTGGAAGACTAGAGAGGGAGACACAAACATGTCCCGAGTGTTGTCTAAAATTGCTTCATGTGGCTCCCTCCTTATAGATTGGAGCCGACATAAATTCGACAATATACCTGAAAGAATTAAATTGTTGCAAAATGAACTATTGAGTGTTCCAAATGGTACAGCACAAGACAACAGCTTAGGAAGGATGGAAGCATTAAAACAGGAACTCAATGATTGGCAGCAAAGGGAAGAGGTATTATGAAAGTAGGGCTCAAGAGTACAATGGTTAAAGAGGGTGAGAAAAATACTGCTTTTTTCCATAACAGAGCTTCGACCAGGCACAAAAAGAATCACATTGCTAGACTTCTGGATGACAGGGGCTCTCTTGTAGCAGATAAGACAGAGATAGAAGGAATCTGCATTAAGTATTTTAGAGATTTATTCACTTCCAAATACACAGGTCCAAATCGAAGCATCCTGAGCGCATTACAGGGGAGAGTCTCACCTTCAATGGCAAATAACCTTGATAGAGACTTTACTAGTTCTAAAGTTCTTGTTGCCTTGAAGCAAATCCATTCTTCAAAGGCCCCAGGACTTGATGGGATGAATGCTAGTTTTTATAAAAATTATTAGCATATTATAGGAGGGGATATCATATCAGCTACGTTGGACTTCCTTAATAATGGGTTTATTGTGAGAGATGTGAACCTTACTCATATTGTTTTGATCCCAAAAGTTAAAAGTCCCTCTTCTATGAAGGATTTTCGGCCCGTAAGTCTTTGCAATGTGCTGTACAAAATTATATCCAAAGTCTTAACCAACATGCTTAAATTTGTCCTACCGCACATTATATAAAATAATCAGAGCGCTTTTGTTCCTAGGAGGTTAATTTATGACAACATTATGGTAGCCTTTGAAGCTATCCATCATTTGAAAAATAAAAAGGTTGGCCGGAGAGGTCATATGGTTGTCAAACTTGATCTTGGCAAGGCTTTTGATCAAGTAAAATGGAATTTCTCAGAAGACACTATGCAAGCTATGGGTTTTCTTGAACGGTGGATTACCATGTCATGATGTGTGTTCGCACTGTGGAATACTCCGTCTTGATCAATGGGTGTCCAACAAAGAAATTCACTCCAAGCAGGAGTATAAGGCAAGGAGATCCCTTTTCCCCTTTCCTTTTTCTCTTATGTGCTGAAGGTTTATCAGCTCTATTATCAAGGGCTATCAATAGAGGGGAATTAAAGGGATTGACTTTATGCCGGTGATGCCCTTGTCTATCGCATTTGTTTTTTCCAGATGACAGTTTGTTGTTTGGAGCAGCATCTATCCAAGAAGCTGCAAAGCTGTTGGAAATCTTGAAGGAATATAAGGGGGTTTCCGGCCAACAAATTAATCTTAACAAATCATCTATTTTTTTCAGCAATAATACTTCCAATGCTGTGCAGCTGAGGGTGATGCAAACTTTGAATGTATCCAAAGTCATTGCAGATGATAAATATCTTGGACTCCCCTTAATTATAGGGTGTAAGAAAGCTATCTGTTTTGATTCTATCCGAGATAGAGTTTGGTCCAAAATCAAAGGATGGAAACAAAATTGCTATCTCGTGCCGAACGAGAAATTCTAATTAAAGCAGTAGTGCAAGCTATTCCTACATATTGCATGGGTTGTTTTAAGCTTCCACAAAATTTTCTTCCATCCTTAAATAGCATCATTAGCAACTTTTGGTGGGGAGATAACATTGATAGAAGGAGAATCCATTGGTTACGATGGGATCTCGTGTGTAAACCTAAGCAATTTGGGCGTTTGATGTAGGAGAGGACCACCTTATGCTATCAAGTTCTCAGAGCTAAATACTTTCCCAATGGAGATTTATTGGGAGCTTCTGTAGGAGCTAACGCTTCTATGGTCTGGCAAGGGGTTGTTGATGGCCTTGGTATTCTTAAATTGGGCTCAACTTCGAGAATGGGTACTGGACAGGACGTCAAACTCTAGAGAGAACTGGTTGCCTTTTGGAGCTATCCCTCGGCCATGGTCCGCTCTTATCCAACAGGGCATGGATGATAAGGTCAGTGCTTTCATAGATGTCAATACAGGCTACTGGAAGGAAGGAGATGTTCGACAACAATTTTGTGCAGAAAATGCAGAGAGCATTCTACACATCCCCCTTAGTAAAAGATGCTCCGTTGATAGATTAATATGGCTTGGGACCAACAATGGCAAAGTTTTAGTTAAATCTGCTTACAAATATGCTTGGGAGTTGATCTTTGGCACTCAGCACCATGCTCATGATCAAATACTGAAACCAGTTTGGAGAGCATTTTGGTCATTGAATGTCCCCTCTAAGCTTAAGCATGTTTTGTGGAGGATAATATGGGAGATTTTGCCCTCTCGCGATATACTGCAATCGCGTGGCCTTGAGATAAAGCACGAATGTGGTATTTGCGGTGAGCAGAAGAATCTTATTTTCATCTGTTTTTTGATTGTGCCTGGAGTAAAGCCGTGTGGAGAGAAATCCTTCCAACAGCTATCTCACATTCTATACAATAGAGGACCTTTCTCGATGACTTTCTTGATTTCTTCTTGGCATTGAGTTCAGATGACAGGGAATTAGTTGCTGTGACTTTGTGGTATATCTGGAATAATAGGAACCACTGTATCTATAAGCATTCTTGTTTTTCACCTGCTCGAAGCATTCGGGCCATTAGATGCTATATTGCTGAGTATTGAGCAGCAACAATACAGGTTGAAGATAATCTACATGAAACTTTACCCCAACTAGTCCCTACCGAATATGTTTGGACCTCGCCTCCCTCAGGGGTCATCAAAATAAATGTGGATGCAAGTATCCCACCTCAGTCTGGTACAGCAAGCCTTGGGGTCGTACTTAGAGACTGCAACGGTGGTGTGCTCGGTGCCGGCAAAAAGACCATCAGCTTCCAAGGTAGTGTCAATCACGCAGAAGTCTTAGCAATCAGTTTTGGGGTGCATCTCAAGAAAGAGTTTGGGTGCAAAAATGTTGTTGTGGAGTCTGACAGTAAGAATGCGGTACAAGCGGCAGCTTCGTTGGAAGAGTGTTTCCTAATCTACGGGGCCGTTGTTGAAGAGATACAAGAACGCACCAGATTATTTGATTCCTGCTCTTTTAAATTTGCTCGTAGAGCATTGAATGAGACTGCTCATAGAATAGCACATATGCATTCCCCATTACCACCTTGGGAAGGGGTTTGGGTGGGCACTTTACCCTCAGCAATTGGTATTGATTTGGTCTCTTAAGCAATAAAAATTTATTTATCTATCAAAAAAAAAAAAAAAAACTCATATCACTTGATTAGCTGGTTGCCAAAAACAGAATTTCAATAGTCAGAAACCACCAGGATCATATTTGTTGGAACCACTTGTAACTTGTCCTTGATTTTCTCAATTGACTCAGCCAAACTCCATCTCAATTTTGATCATCAAAATCTGCACACTCATCCGCACTTAAGAAGAAGGGACTAATAAAATTGGAATAAAACACTGCCTCAAGTCCGTATGCGTAGTCCAATTCATTTGCAAGATTAAATCCACAAAAGTATTTAGGCACCACTTTATCTTGAAGTAAAGGGACAAATAAAAATATTAACTTTACATATTTTTTATTAAATATGTTAATTTTATTAATTTTTAAATAATATGTTAATTTTTTATTATTTTTATTTAAAAAAATTAACTTTCAACTGTTTTTATTTAATATTATTAATTTTTAATATTTTTTATTTAAAAATATTATTTTTTAATTTTTTAATTTAAAGATACTAACTTTTTTTTTATTTAAGAATTAATTGTATAATAATACTAACATGGTAAATATATTTTTAACTAAAATATTGAAAATTAATATTTTTAAATAAAAAAAATTAAAAATTGATATTTTTATTTAAAAATTAACAAAACTAACATTTTAAATAAAAAAAATAAAATTGACATTTTGCACCTTTTCTCCTTTATCTTGGGCCATGTTGTTTTCTTGCTCCAATTCAAAAATTGCTCCAAGCCTCCAAGCTCAAATTCCCTTTTCTAAATATACGAAGGTGGACTCCACGGGCCTAATTAATCAAAATCAAAAAATGCCCCAACTTCCATTCATCAAAATCACCTCGTCAACATGTGGCAAAACCGAAAATATTTCCAAAATAAGCACCAATGTACAAGATTACAGCTAAATTTTTTTTTTAATTAATCCCGAAAAAGTTATGGTGGTTTCGGATGTCTATTTTAACACATGAAATCATCTTAAAATTTTATTATTTATGGCCTAATAACATATATTATTAAGAAATTTTTCTGTTTCTAATGGTTAATAATTGTACACTTTTTAATTTTAGAATGTTATTGAATATGTTTATTTCTATTTTATTTTTATTTTGAAAAAATAATTGTAATATTTATTAAATAAGAAGAATCATTTAAATAATGATTAATTAAGAACAAATATAAAATTTTATTAAATAATTATTACATCCTCATTTTTTAAAAAAGCTATGATTACTAAAATTATAATGATTAATTAAGAATAAACATATTTTATCAATTAATTATAACATTTTTATTTTATTGACTAAAAAATTATGCCTATTAAAATTAAAAAAAGAGACTAATATTTTCACAATTTGATATAATTTGAATTTTAGATCATAAACCACCATTTTAATTCTCTCTTTCTTTTAAAATAGACCACACTGTTATTTAAGCTTAATGGTTTAAAACTATAGGTATTATTTTAGTGATTAAGATGTTTTCAAATCAATTTATACGTTTTTTAGATTAATTTTTTTTTAATTTAGTTAAAAAAAAAAAAACCATCCATACTCATACTAAAAAATTTATAACAAATTAAATTTTCTTTAACCTTTTAAAAACTTAAATTTTAATCAATAAAACAAAAATACAAATCCCTTTTTCAATTAAATCATTTTTTTATTAATCTTTTAATATTTAATAATTATTTTAAATTTTAATTAATTTAAAATCAAATTACATTAAAACTTATAAAAATAATTCTCTTAATATTTTTTTATTTATAAAACTAAAATTCAAAATTTTATTTTAAAAATATAAAACTTCTTTATCACACCCCTCCTTTATCTTCCTACTTTACAAAAAGCTACCTTTACACGGAATCGCTCTAAACTCTGCTTATTTTTGCTGAACACTTATAAAACCTACACCACGCAAAACACACTCGCAGCTTACTTCAGCACTATACAGTCAAAAGAAATGATTTGCTACGTCTCTCTCTAGTTCTCCTCCACTCTCCCTCCCTTCCAATCTCAAAATCAGGTATTCAACCTTACCCTTTTCTTCCATTTCATCTCCATTTTCATGCTTCCTCGTTGTTTTGGATGCCATTTCTGTAGATTCCATCATTGCATTATTTTCCCCATTAATTCCTTCTTTCCAATTCTCCGTTTCTCTTCGTTTCCCAGAAAATTTGATCACCCATTTTGCTTCGCATCAAATTTCGTTTCTTTGTCAATTTTTTAACATAATTTGGAGATTTTAGTATTGGAATTTCTAGATCTGTACTGAGATTTCATTTTGTTTGGATTTTCAGTTGTATCCTATCGTAGCTGCCATGGATTCCGATAAGCTCCTGAACATGGGTGTTCTCATACTGGCCACTCTTATAGTGTCCAAGCTTATTGCTGCACTCATAATGCCCAGATCTAGAAAGCGGCTGCCGCCTGTGGTCAAGTCATGGCCATTGCTTGGTGGGCTCCTCCGGTTCCTGAAAGGACCCATTGTGATGCTCCGGGCGGAGTATCCGAAGCTGGGCAGTGTATTCACAGTGAACATAGTGAACAAGAAAATAACTTTCTTGATTGGTCCTGAGGTGTCTGCACACTTCTTTAAGGCCTCGGAATCCGACCTCAGCCAGCAGGAGGTCTATCAATTCAATGTGCCCACTTTTGGTCCGGGAGTGGTGTTTGATGTGGATTACTCAGTAAGGCAGGAGCAGTTTCGGTTCTTTACTGAGTCACTTAGAGTGACTAAGCTTAGGGGCTATGTGGATCAAATGGTGGCAGAAGCAGAGGTTAGTCATTTCCTACCATATTATAAATGTTTTGACAATCACTTCTTCACCATTGCTATTTATCTGTGTATTTTTCTTTTGTGTGTAAGTAGTTGTAAAGTTTTCAGCATTGATAGGACATAAGTGTATCTTATATGTTATACATTTGATAGTAAATATGTGAATCTTACATAATTGAAGATGTCGGAATTTGAACTTTATTTATTGAGGAAAATGAAGTTTCAACTAACAGTCATATTTTGTTGCCTCTTTCCTTTCTGACAGGCAGTTTCTATTAAATTGATGTTATAAATGAATTAATTTGACTATGCACTTGCAGCCTTCATATTTTCTGGATTTGAGATGGTTGGGAGACTTATAAAGAACAAACATAGATAAAACGACAATTTCAAAATTTACTCTGGCAGTTAACTATTCTGAATTTTTGTACTTTTTATTACAAGGTATTGGAGAATGTGGTTTGTTGATGATTCAATGCAGTGGGCTGTTGAGTTGATGATTGCATAACCCACTAAAGTTAACAATCGGAAATGACTTCTTACTGAATTGAATGTTCAATGTTCTTTTGTGAATGCAAACATATGTGGTTCTTATTATTCTTTCATCATTTTGAAATTGGGCAGGACTACTTCTCAAAGTGGGGAGACAGTGGTGAGGTAGATCTGAAGTATGAGCTAGAACACCTGATTATTTTGACTGCCAGTAGGTGTCTATTGGGACAAGAAGTACGTGATCGGCTTTTTGATGATGTGTCTGCACTTTTCCACGATCTTGACAATGGCATGCTCCCCATTAGCGTTATCTTTCCTTACCTGCCTATCCCTGCTCACCGGCGTCGTGATCGCGCTCGTAAGAAGCTTGCAGGAATTTTTGCAAACATCATAGCTTCTCGTAAACAAGCAGGCAAATCGGAGAATGACATGTTGCAGTGTTTCATTGATTCCAAGTACAAAGATGGCCGTCCAACAACTGAAGCTGAAATAACTGGCTTGCTTATTGCTGCCCTCTTTGCTGGACAGCACACCAGTTCCATTACCTCTACATGGACTGGAGCATATCTCCTACGTCACAAGGAGTATGAATCTGCTGTTCTGGAGGAGCAGAAACGTCTTATGGAGAAGCATGGGGACAAGGTTGATCATGATATCTTGGCTGAGATGGATGTGCTGTATCGGTGCATTAAGGAAGCCCTGAGACTTCATCCCCCATTGATTATGCTCCTACGTAGCTCTCACAGTGATTTTAGTGTGACAACCC